TATCGGTGTTGTAAAAATGAAGAGGGGAAGCAAGATGGTTGCAGTTACACCATCAATGATCCATGATCTCTGCAAGTAAACACCCATCATGTGGTAGTGTCCCGCTCCATATGCTTGCCCGCATAAGGTCTCAGTCGCACTTGACATGCCAATCTTCCATGAGAAAGGAAAAACTTAGGTAAGTAAATTATTGAAATAATTGTCTTTACCTTGTATATATTTGGAAGATCACACAGGTGGCAAGACATGTAAAATAGGAAAGACACATCGATTCATTCCTCACTTCCATGGCTACAAAGAGTCCAATACCTTTCTCTTTCTGTTATATTTTCAAGTGAAAGTCAATACTAATCTTGTTCTGGTTCCAAATTTTTTTTTAATACTAATTATTTAGAATTAGCTTTCAAAATTGCAGTGATATGAATTTAGTATTTAGAAAATACTAACAATTAATTTTTAAGACTCGCATGCAGTTTTCCTCATGAAACAGGTTATGTTCAAACACCTTAATATAATAGCATTACACATAGGAAGAACAGACATCTTAAAAATAATACACTACTTATTAGAGCCCATGCTCTTCATCATTCGAACCAGGCATTTGTCACAACAGTATACTTGATGGATAGAATGTCTTCATGGGTGTTTGGTTTTCAAACTCCTCTACAAGCTCTTCCCTAATATAAAATCCTCTCATCCATAATAATGTTACTCCTCTACAAGCTCTTACCAAGCTTGAATATCCATGTTGTATTCGTTGATTTTTTCTAGGATATGGATCATGTCAAAAAAAATATAGCTGCTATCATCCTTATATCTGCTACATATATGTCAACTATGGTTGTCACTTTCTTGGAATTAGAATAATATTTCTTAAATTCCTCATCTACTTCTCCTCTTTAGGGGAGGACACATAACAAATAGGATAAATGGATGAATTTACAATTTCAAGATATAGAAAATGATGGCACCAGCCTAGAACTAATCCAGCTACAGGTTGTTGCGACAAGAGCAGAAGATCATCTTTTTAAGAGTGTCAAAAGACCAATTTTCTAAGAATATTTGATGCAATTCTATTAGTTGATAGTTTTATCTATATTTATCTAATATTTTATTCATGTTATATAAATAAAATGCCTTAATAATATTTGTTTTATGTTTTGAAGGCACTTTTGAATATAAAATTTAAAAATAAGTAAATTAAAGATAAAATTTAGATCATATTCCAACTAATGTCAAATATTTGCATATTTGACCTCTGATTGATGTTTTATGCAAAACTTAAGTTGTAGAAGTGAAAATGAAGTGATTCTAGTGACAATAAAAAGCTAATATCTATACCTTTTTATACATATATGATAAGAAAAATAAAAAATAAAGGGCATGAAAATTGCAGCCTTCAAACATAAGTCTTATATTTTACAAGTTTTGACTTTCAGTCATTCCGACTTGAATATCTTGAGTTAGAGTAGTTCATTTGATGTAAACTCACTTTTGTTGGATTCCTCAATTAAATACTTATCAACCTATCAAATTTTAGTAGAAAAAGAGCTCATATGAGATATATATGATTTTTTTAAAACAACCCATAAATTTTGACAACAAACCAGGTTTTGTGAGAAAACAAGTTCAATTTACTTCCAAAGCATCCAAATTGACATGATAATTGTTTTTTCATATGGAAAAGGTCTTTATTTGGGAAATTTAACTTCTCTAAGTCCAAAGCAAAGCTTGAAAATTTTATGCAAGACTATTTTTATTTTTTTTTAGAAAAATAGTTATTGTATTACTTAAATGTAGATTGTCTACTCTAGAAATGACTATTTTTATTTTTTGAAAGGATACAAATGGATTAGATGGATGTGAGGATTAGGGTGTCCTATTAAATAAAAAAAAAAAAAGAGAAAGAAAGAGATAGGGGTGGCTAGAAAGAAGAGGAAATCTCTCACCCTTTTCTCCTACACCCGAAATTATGTTTTCATCTTTTCTTTTCCTTAGTTTTTCGATAAACATGTCAGGCTATTTTACTTTTCTTGCTTGAAAGGATACAGAAACCTTCAGATTTCAAAAACTATGAAGTTTATTATATCTTTTCTTTTCGGTTTATATAATGAGTATGAATGTTTTTCTATATTTATTTTCTATGATTGTTTAGTTTGATTGTTATAGAAAACTCTATGTCATTATTCTAAACCAATCTATTGCTAAATTTGTTATCAAAATTGGAGTTATGATATTTAACTTGTGAAACGACTAAGTTTAATAATTATAGCTAATTTATATTGTTAATCTTAGAAAAAACATTCAATTAAATCGAACATAAACTGTAGACAGTTATATTGTCTAAATTTATCAACCTATCTAGTTTTTAAAGCTACAATTAAATTAAATTACTAATGCAAACATTATGATTGTTTAATATTTATGGTTAGTTACACTACGGATCAGTTAACTAATTAATATTAATGAAAGATAGATATTTAGAATATAAATTGAGATATCATTTCAATGATCAGTTTTGATTTTCATGGGTGGATATTTATTTGAGACCAAGATTTTTCTCTTAATAAGTTTTGGATTATTTAATTTAGCTTTATTATTTTATTTTGTTTACCATAACATAGCCTAAATAACCTCAAAATCCTCCAACTTTAAATCATTTAGCATAAAGACCTGAACTAGTTCTTTCTCATGGGATCAACTATTTGTTTGCTCTATATTATCTTATTTTTTTTAAGTTAAGATAATTAATTTATTTAATCTTGACATCGCAACAATAGTCCTAAGTAATACACTCCACCTCATCTCCTAATATAATAAATACTTATATTGGACATAAACTAACTTTCAGTAATAATGGGGAAACCACTGAATCACTATTCTTCATAACAACCATGTAACATCACATAAGCTAGTAAAACCATTACAAGCTTTCGTACATGCTGTCATCTATACAGGCTCTTAGCAACCTATAGGATACCATTTCTTCTCCATAATGAACTTAGGCAACAATGATAGAAATTTAGAAGAATCAGACTTGGAGTCTTGTTATTCTGCCTAAAGGAACTATGGAATGTAGATGCATGTTTTTTCTATATAAAAAATAAAATAGATTGGATTATTGAAAGGTACAAAGCAAGAATTATAAAAAAAAAAAGAAAAAAAAGGATATACTTAAATGTATTGTGTAGACTACTAAGAGATGTTCTCTCAACTAGTAAAGTTGAAAATAGTTTGGGTTGATATTTCTGACAACAAATCTAGAGTGATCATTACATGAGTTTTATGTAAAAAAATAAAAATAAAAACCATCAATGGATATTTCAAAAGAAAAGTGTACATCGATATTAAATTTAAATAAAATTCAAGCTCACTAAATTGTAGTAAGTAAATTATAAAAGGGTTTATGTGGGTAAAACAATTACCTTTTGCATTGTTTGGATGGTACAATTTAGTTACGAAGAAGTATGAATTCAAACGATGTAACTCAAAGCATATCATATTTGTTAAGCATAGACAAGAAAGGTAATAAATCTTGATAGTATATATTGATGATAGGATAATTAGAGACAATGATGCAAAAGAAATCTTAAGACTTAAAAAAAATCTTAGTTGTTGAATTTGAAATAAAGAACCCTAAGGGATAAAATATTTCATAGGCATTGGAGTTGAAGTGGCTAAATCAATAAGAGGTATCTTATAATCATAAAGGAAGTATGTACTAGACTTGCTTTCAAAGATAGGTATGCTAAACTAGTTGACACTCCAATAAAACAAAATTATAGCCTTGGAGAATATCTAGATCAAAATTCCTGCTAATATAAATAGAGATCTTAACAGCTAGCAGGGAAATTGATTAACTTGTCTCATACACGTTCGGATATAACTTATTTTATTAGACTAGCAAGCCAGTTTGTGCATAAACCTGGTAAAGATAAGATGAATACAGGGAACCAGATTCTCAGGTATTTGAAATTAGCTCGAAAGGTCTCAAGTTATTAAAGAACAAGCACGTGAACATTAATAGATATACAAATGCAGATTGTGCAAGAAGCATTATTGATTAACAAAATCCATATTAGACTACTTTACCTCTGTGGGAGGTAATCTTGATTCATAGAGAAGTAGGAAACAAAAGGTAGAGAGGTAGGAGGTAGAGTTCAGAAGTAAAAGGTTGCTGTGTTGTCCAGTGTAAATGATGAGTTTAAAAGGAATGACCAAAGGATGAGACTACTCCATGACAACTAAGTAGCCATATAATTAGCTTACAATCCAATTCAACATATTTAGACAAAGCATATGTTGATGTAGATCAACACTTTATAAGAAAAACCTCGAGGCCAAGGCCAAGATAATTCAAAGATGAGTTAATTATAGATGTATTAATAAGTTTGTTGATCTACAACTTTTTTTCCTTCAAATTATCTTTCATTATTAAGAAAGGATAATGAAGATAAAATACAAGTATTTTTTATAGCAATGGTTATTAATTGGTGTTGTTTTAAAATCAATCTGTAATCCATCTAGATAATATTTTTACTTGTTCACTAATAAATCATTTGAAATGTTTGACATGGAATCCATTAGAATATGAATTCCGGGAAGGATGAATGGAAATAAGTAGGATAAAATATGATTATAATATAATCAAGTAGTCAAACAAAATTAAAAATATTTAATAAACAAACATTTATTCTTTTTACTTTACCCAATTCCTTTTTTTACATCAAAATAATTAAATATGGATTCCTGGATTTTTCTCGGACAAAACATCAATTGAAGTGGAGGTCTATTTTTTTACATCATAGTAACAAAATATTGAGAGGAGGACGTACCAAAATCCCATCTACAAACCGCAGCAAAATGCTCTGCTGGAGGCCAAATGCTGCGAGATCCAGTTCGCCGATGTGCCCCATGAATAACTGTGTCACAACTATCATTCCAAATGAAGACACTCGCGCCACCATTCCAGGAAATGCAATCACCCATAGCTTCTTGGACTCGTTCCAAACCCTCCTCTTCAAGTCAGAGCTGTTAAGCTCTTCCGGGGAAAGAAGCCTCTCTTCCATTGAATTATCCATGATCCTGTCAGAAAAAACTCTAAAATCATTGATTTTCCAAGCTTTTCGTTAAATATAAACTTTACATTGGACACATTTGTAATATACAAATTGAGATTTTAACATTCATCATGACCACGTGAATCTTCATATCAAGTCAGTTGCCACAAAATTCACTCAAAATAGTCTATCATAAGTTGTAGGACATGAATGTTGGATAGTCTATTTTTAAGCTCCTATGTATTTGAATGTTGGATAGTCTATTTTTAAGCTCCTTAGGTTTCCACACCATTAAAATTTTTCAACCATGAACCCATGTACTTCATGAATCAGCATGAAAATCTTTGTAAAGAAAACAAAAGAGATGGTTGTAAAGACAAAAAAAGTAGCTATTCTTGTTGCGATGAACAAATATGAAAATAAATAGTTGATTATTAGAGAATAATATAAATTATATTTTGAGATCTTGAATTCATGATTAAGTGGTCATGAGTTCAAATCATACTATTTTTATTTATTTGATAATAATTAAGTAAATTAAGTGGTCATGAGTTCAAATCATACCATTTTTATTTATTTGATAATAATTAAGCATAAGATAATGTGAGCTCGTACAAGTTTGAAGTTCAAAGAGTTTTTATTTGAGAGAGTGTGTTAGATAATAATATAAATTATATTTTGAAACCTCACCTAACATTTTAATCTATTAGGTTGAGATGATTCTTTGACATCAATTCATATTATTATAGCTTTATCTAAGTTCAAGTAGTTGTAATTTGACAAATTAAAAAAATTCTCATATTATAGGTGTTTTTCAAAAGGTTTTTGACATAACTTCTTCTATTTTAAAGTATTTTTCAAAAGTATTTATGGCTGGAAAAAAAACCATTAAATTGATGTTTATTTAGTATTTTCTATGGTTTCAATATGTTGAAGTCAAAAATAAAAATAAAATTATTTTTATTATATTTTAAAAAAACTATTTAAAAAAATATTATGCATCACAATCTCAAATATACCTTAAGTACTCATATGTTGTTCATGTGTATTCTCAAGGGCATGTTAATGTGGCCACTGATAGGTTATAAACATGGAGAAAAATGAATTTTCATATTTTAAAATATTAATTGCTAGATTATTAATATTAAACATCGATGATCTTTCATATTATATATTATTAAATATATTATCCTTTAATTAAAATTAAATGTCATAGTTAAGAAAACCTTAGAAAATAATTTTGAAATATGATGTTAATATTGAATATAAATAATAAATAAATAAATGACAATAACATCTAATTTGGAAAAGTACTCATTAAGCATACCATGCTAATGAATGCTAAATAGCATAATAATGGTCTTATGAAGGCAAATATATTTGTATTTAATAAATTACTCAAATATTATTTTTTTAGTCTGTGTTTTTAATGCCTTATATTGTGATCCGAGAATGATATACAATTTAATTTATGAATATATTTTACTCAAAATGTTTTTTAATGGATAGTAAGATTGTATGCATTAAGTTTTAGTTTTTTTAAATAAAACTACAGGTCTAAAATGAAATCTAAATATTACTTAAGGGGGTTTTGATCATTTAAGAATTTTAAATATAATGAAAAATAATGAAAACATTTACTTATTAACGGATGAAATAAAAAAAATCTAATTTTTACATATTATAATATATCCGAAACATTGAATATAATTACTTATATAATATTAATGATGTGGGAAATTTAAAGAAACAAATAACCTACAAGTAAATAACATTTTTAAATAAATATATAATTTAACAGTATGGATGTGTTTATTTTTTTAAAAAGAAAAATATATCATATTTAATTTATTTAATATTTTAATTGAAGTGAAAAAAGAAAAAGAAAACTAGTGAGATAAGCCCAGTTTATAGCATTAGACCTACAATCTCAAGCCTAGGCGCAAATGGATATTGTGCATAAGGCCCTACCTCAAAAAGAAAAAAAATCCAACCAAGAAGAAGAAGGAATAAAGGTTGACAATGCATTGTTTGTCATGTCAGATGACATGTTCTTCATGTTTTTTTCTCTAAAAACATTTTGGTGATTAAAAATTTATTATTTGTCGATTTTTCCACTCTAAAAGTGAATTTGTCATTAGTTTTCAACTAAAAACACCTCCTCACCATCCTAAAAATTTATAAATTCATTTCTAACATTAAAATTCTTTTTTTCAATATTTAAATAACAAATTAATCACCAAACCAATTCTCAACTCTAATATTTAAAAAGCATATTGCGATAGTAAAATTACAATAAAAACTAAAGCTTGTAGTGTTTTCACTATCACAAAAAAAAATATTGTGGATCCTCTTATATTTTATTGTAAATTGGAGTAGTGAAGATTTTTCATTTTATTTTGATTCTCAAACCTTTTTTTTCCTCGATTGAGTTTTTTTAGTCTGAATTGATTATCAATTGCTTATGATTTCTTAGTCAATGACTAAATTAAAAGTTAGAGAATCAAAGTAAAAATAACACTGAAAATAGGTGGTTGTTTCAAAATTAGCATGAAAACTTAACTTTAGTCTCTGTACTTCTGGTAATATAGCTTTTCAGTCCTTTTAGTTTAGGAAAATTCAATTTTGATCCAAAATTTTATTTTTAGAAAATTAACTTCCAGCTCATTATCAATGAAAGCAAGATGCAAGTAGAATTTTGATTTGACTCATGTTAGGACATCCTATTGAATTATTCATTATATTGGTAACTTATTCATTACTAAGAAAAATTACAAATAAAATTTTAAAGGAAGAGGCTATTAAAAGCATAGGAAAAAGAAAAAGATCTATCAAGTTTATATTTATAGACTCTTTTGATCCTGCACTTATCTATTTCTTAAAATCTCTATAAATTTCTCATAAAAAACGATCTTAAAATAAAGGCAAAGAGTTCAAAAAAGAAAATCTAGTAGAAGAAAATGGTCGAGAGTTTCTTGAAAAGGAAAGAGACTCCCCTGTAAAAGAAAACTTAGAAAAAAGATCAAGTAATCCTATACAAGGGGTTACTCCTAAGAAAATTAGTATTGAAATGCAAAAAGGATTTTAGCTAATGAATATAAAGAAACCAAAGACAAAATGGATAAAAAGAATAGCTTAGAAGACTTCTAAGCCTGGAGTAAAAGTTACCTAAGAATGATAAACAAAAAAGTGATGATGATGACATAAATGATATTATTATGATTATATAAACTGGCGGTCAAGAAAAGTATTTCTAAAAAGGGAAAAGGAATATTAATTATCACCATAAACATGCCACGATCCTCATAATAGACATGTCACTTCATCATTATGTATGATGCTTGAACCTTTAATAATATAAGAGGAGCTTACTTGATGTGAACTCTTAGGATAGTAATCTCAAAACCCACAAAAAAAAAACAAGTTAAATAACCCAAGAAAATCAAAATTCAAGTTTGGATAGAGACCTTGATCTAGAGATAACCTTATACATAAAACTAAAGGTTTTGAAAAATAAATTGGACCCATTGTTTATAGAAAAATAAAAACCCAAAGTATATGAAGATGTCATAAGGTCAAATACACATTGATAAGTCAGTTGTTGATCTTCATCCCATTAAAGAACATGATTTGCATTAAGCAATATCTGAATTATTCAATAATAAAAGGCTATAAAATTTTACAACCATGAAAAATATATATAGTCATGCTAAATAACCCTAATAGATCCTTATTAGGTTGCGAAACAATGAGTTCAAGCTAATAGTTAGTTAACACAAATAAAATGCCTAAAACATTGATTTTGGGCTAAAATAAACCCAAAATAAAAAAAAAGTCTTAAACTAACAGTAAAATCTCTAAAATACTTAACTAAGAATAGCAATGGTCTAAATAAAAGATCAAGCCATTACAATAATTAATTCAGCTCTTTCCTAATAGAAATAGAAAAGTGTTGTTCCTCTTAATATCTTGTACAAGCATGGAAATTCATGAATTTAATTGTTGATACTCTTTCCTTGCTTTCCACCTTTATGCCTCTCAAATTTAGGAAGAAATAAAGCTGACTTAATCTCCTTAAATAGCTTTCCATAAGAATCCTTTTAGATTAGAAAATCTTTACAAAAAAATAAAATAGCAAAGAATCTTTTCCTCTTGTAGTTGCTTTTTACATGCCTTAATTTTCATTTAATGGCAAAGATTTCTTTATCATAGTTACTTTTTACTTTCTAAGTTATACTTAAAATCCTCCTTGCTAGATATCGAGAAATAATAATGGCAAAGATTTCTTTATCATAGTTGCCTTTTACTTTCTAAGTTATACTTAAAATCCTTACACTCTCTAAGTTATACTTGGAATCCTTGTAAATAAAGGTAACACAACAATTTTCCAATTAATTTAATATTTGCTTCCACAAATAGATTTCTTTTCACACAAGAAAATTTCCTTTTATAAGCATCTAAATAACTTTCAGTCATGAGTCCTTTTTATTGAGGATTTTTAGTAAATCCTTGTAAAAAAAGGTTTCTAATACTTCAATTAATCATTGAGAAAATTAGGGTCCAATAATACCCAAACCCATTAACATAATTAATGTCCATACAAAACCTAAATATATAGCTCAAGCATACCTTTTATCCTGTCATTAATGTACCCAAAATTAGATTGACTTATTTGAGTTAAAACCATCTCCTTTAGAATTAGATTAAATTCAAACATGAAGACTGGCCAAATCTTCATGAATGAAATCAAGGTTGACCTCTATTGAAAAGGGGACCTAGATTTTATTTTTATATGATAAAATAGAAGATGCTAGGAAGAATTGAAGAAGAAATGCTTAATTGGTCAAATAATTCTCCTTTTATGTCTAAAGCAGTAGCTTTATTAGTGTTAAATATTATTTGATCTCAAGTTTGTAATGGTATTATTTATTATTAATTTTAGAAATTTACACCCTTACATTACATGATTATACGATATTTAACTATAAATAACTAGAAAAATAGAGAAGAGAGAAAACATCATAGAA